TCAACAGGATCGCTCCCAAAAAGGATGAGATTATCGACATAAACCAAGACATGTAAATGCACAGAATCACAATGTAAAGTAAACAGGGAGTAATCGGAATAAGACTGTGTAAATCATAGTGCTTAAGAGCAGTAGCAAGCTTAACGAACCAACAACGAGGAACACTTTGAACAATACAAAGAGCGACGTAGTCGGGATACCTCACCAATTCGAGGTGAATGAAAACCAAAAGGAAGTTTCATATGAACTTCCTCAGTCAAATCGCCGTGCAAAAATGCATTGAGAACATCCATCTGATTCATCTTCCAGTGTCGAGCTACAACCACAAAATTATAAAAAGAAAAGGATGAATGGTGATCATCTTCGCTATTGAAGCAAAAGTCTTCTGATAGTCAATCGTTTATTTCCTAAAAAAACCAAACACGCCTTATAGCGCTCAACTGATCCATCAAAATGATGTTTAATTTTGTAAATCCACTTACAACCAATAACATTTTCAGAAGGAAGGGGTACAATATCCCAGGTATGGTTAGCCTCAGAGCCTTAATTTCAAGCTGCATGGCGAGTGCCAACGACTATCGTGAACCGCCACGACGAAAGTCTGAGGATTAATAGTGGAAGTCACAGCTGCCAAAAAGGACTTATGGTCGACGTAAGATCAAGGCCTAAAACATGGGATCGCGTCGGGCCATACAAGTGTCGTCCAAACCCATCAGAAATTGATGAACACATTCATCTTCTCGACGTCGATCCCATTTAGCATGAAGACCGCATGTGCACTTACTGCAGCGGCAAACCAGAGATCGCTCATAACCCGCGAGTTCGTCTAAAGCTTCGTCATTCGTCCATAATATTTCTCGATGCTGCTGCCCGCTTGTTTGCACCTGGATAGATCGATCTTGAGTTGTTGAATTCGGGGGGTCGCTCATAGCGGTATATTGCTCTCGAAGGGTCGTCCATAGATCAAAGACGAAGTTGGGTTGAGAGATCGTCGATCGAACTGTCTGATTGGTGCTATTCATGACCCAACAAAGCTAGAGATGGTTGTTTGCAAGCCAATCATCGTACAAATTCGTCCCCTGTTGAGGACGAGGGATCGAGCCGTCGACAAAGATAACTATGGAACTAACTAATCACATAATGCTAAATATCTCTAATTATCATCTACATAATGCAGAAGATAAATTACACACATATACACGATAAAATTTTTTCAGAATTTATTCAAATATACCTTTTAGAAAACCTTTCACACGCAAAATGAATAATTCAACGGATTATTATGAAAATTAGTTGCAACTTACGGATATAACACACAAACTATTCCTAACTAATTCAATATTTAATAAATAGTCAGGTCCATTAATCCTCAGAGTCAGGGCTGGCACAACTAAAGTCGCGCTATTAATTCTAGAATGACAGATTTTTGGCATTAGTAGGCGTATTGTTCAGTTATTTTTTGGTCAGTGAAGTGAATTGAACAAGTCACCACGTCGTTAAATTAAAATGATAGCAATAAGTAAGTCGTCATTTTAAATTGAAGGACATAGTTCACTAATTGTACGGAATTAGATGACAATGCCCTACGAATACCAATATCCGAGAACATAAATTACACAACTTATATTGTTGAAGAATCTTATACCAATACTGCGAATTTTCGGTTTGTGTTAATTGTTATATGCTTTCACCTATTTAAATCAAACACAATAAGTATACATAATTTGTTCTTATTTTGATCTGTTTTACAAATTATGGGACTACTTTTGATCAAATTCATTCTAATTTAACTATTTTTACATATACTTGTTGTGAAAATACTTTTAACTTTTTCTTGGGAAAATTAAATTAGAATATGCGCATTATATCTATACTATAAAAAATTGTCATGATATTCTAACAATAATATTATTCCAATAAAAATTACTATAAATATTTCAATGATATAATTCTCGTTGGAATGATTTCAGTGAAAATTTCAACGAAAATATTCCGCTGGAATAAGATTTCTATTGGTTTTAGTTCATATTTGATGATTGCAACGACAACTTTTTCAACGAATTTCCATTAAAATATGCAAATTTCCATACAAATTTTTATTTCCACTCATATATTAATCGTTGACAATTTACCATTAGAATCATCGGAATCCAATGAAAAATTCATTCAATTTCGTTGAAATTTTTGTTGAAACCCACTAAAAAGTTTAAACTTAAATAATAGCATTGAAATTCTATTGAAATTAGTGTTGAAATTTCATTAAAATATATTTTCATTGTAACTCATTTTTTTATTGCTAGAAATCACTAAACGCAGGCTTATTATGAACTGGGAGAGAACACATCACTACAAGCAAATGATGAAATTCCAACGGAAATATATTTCAATAGAATTCCAATGACAGATTCAATAGATATTTTAATGTTATGAATTCCGTTGGAGTGAGTTTTCCATTGGAATTTCCGTTGGATTTTGACGATTCCAGCGGTAGATTTTTCAACGGGGGTGGAAATAAAAATTCCCAACGGAAATTCCTACGGTAAAAAGCCGTTGAAAATATAGTTGTTGGAATCATCAAATTCCATCTAAAATTTCAATGAAAAACACATTCCAACGGAATTTTTCATTGAAATTTCCATTGGAAACATTCCAACCGAAGCTATACCATTGGAATATCTGTTGGAATTTCTATTGGAATATATTACTATAGGATTTTCCGTTGGAATATAACAATTTTTTTGTAGTGCATCTTACTCTAAGCATTATCAAAATACAGGTCAAACATAGATGATGTCATTCATAAATAGTTTTTTAATAAATAAAAAATAAAAAATGACTTTGAATAGATTGTCCAGTCAACAACAATAGTATTTTTTTTCACCCACTTTGAAAATATATTTAAATTTTTCATATTGCAAGATGATAAGTTAACCTTTTCACCTCAAAAAGTACAATTATATTGCACGATGAATAAACTTGTGGGGATGGATATGCGACACTTATGCGGTCATTTGCATTTGCACTTTCTGAAATGAAAAAATAAAATTATCAAAGAACAGTGTGAAAATTTTAATGTATATTTTAATTTTATAGTAAGGTGAAAAATAATTCTTACATTTGTTTGTCAAATTGTCAACTGTCCAACATCCAACTTGTTTCATTCATCCTCATATTTTTTAAAATTCTTAACGAAACAAAAGTATAAAGTATATGACAACTTACATCATTCTAATTTCTAAAGGTATAATATGATACAGTAAAATTACAATTTGATTTGAAAGATAGTTTTCGTGTAATTAGACAAGACTCGAAGTGTATTTTTATTAATAAACACTTGAATCAAACTAAAATGGTGAGAGACATGTTACATAAACTACTAATTATGATTTTGATTGTTTTATGCTTAATTAATGATATAATCTATCATTAAATAAAAAGAATAATTTTTTTACAATTTTAAAAATATTTTCCCGCCAAATACATTAAATATATCCTAAATATAGTAATTGTTGGATAATATTGATAAGGCAACAAAATCGGTAGATTAATTGTGTTAAAATCTGTTTTCATTTTTCCTGTTTTTTGGGTATTGAAAACTCATGGCATAAATCTAGAGTTTATGTCTTATCTGTTACAAAATCCAATTGCAGACGATCTCACGAGTTTAAAAAATAGATTTACAAAAATAAAATAAAATAAAACCAATTCATAATTACTACTAGAAATCCATTCTCTACTTTAAAAAGCTAATTTTTATCGATCTAATTAGTAATATTTTTACAATAAACTAACAACAGCGTAAAAAGTATAATAATAATGGTGTGTAATCAAAATTGTATAATAATAATGGTGTGTAATCAAAATTTTTAGATGGAAGTAAGGCCATACATTCAGTATCATCTGAGATAATGCCTTTTTTAAATTATGCTTATAATATTTTAGATATTTTAAACAAATTGTTTAGACATTTTTTTTACATATTCGTCTATATATATATATATATATATACATATACATAATTGATGTTAAATTTAAATATTTGTAGACATGTTTTCTTTACAAAATAGTCTAGAAATTTTTTTATTTTAAATTCAAATGTTTTTAAATATGTTTTCCTTCTAAAATTGTTTAGAAAAGTTGTAGGTGACTTCACATCTTTCAAAAATAATATAGAAAATTTTGAATACTTTTACATATACTAATATAATATTTTAGGTGTTTTTAATATTATACATACAAATTTTATATTCTCTTATACAAAATAATGTAAATTTCATATTTCTCTTATACAAAATAGTTTTACATTGTTTGACCTCGAATCTTTAATTTATAATTATTAAGTATTGTTTATCCTTCTCTTTAATTTATAATTATTTTTTTTTTCTTTCTCTTTTTACATAATATCAATAGTAGTTTTCACTTTCGCCATTGAATGACTCAAACTCGAGGTCTATTTATAATATTGTTAATTTAATATTGTTCCCGTGCATCGCACGGTGTACACACTAGTTAGCCAAAAATGAGTGAGACTTGGTTTGGAACCTCTCTGCAACTATGGGAAAACATACGAGGTAAGCTACCGTATTTTGTTGCACGAACACTTGAATTGCAATTTGCAACTCGTACAATACGAGTCAGATGAGAGCCCTTTGGCATTATAAAGAATACTATGCACATCTAAAATAAAATTATGAGTTTTTTCTTCACAAGAATATATGAGATCAAATTCATCAAGCTGTTGTGCACTTAATCAACAAATGTCATAAGTAACCATACCAAACTTAATAATAATGTAAACAAATATTAAATAGCTTCATTATTTGAATATATTGGATGTATAAAATTTTCCAGTCTCCCATGAACAAAAGAACAGAAAAAAGAAAAAAGAAAAAAAAAATAATCATCAATTAATAATTTAATACATATCAAATGGGTCTTTATTATTTTTATTTATTTATTTTATTTTGGTGTTTGTCAAATCAATTATTCACCGGTGGCCCTTAAAGATATATGTCTCGTCTCTTCCTTGGCTGCAAAGGCCTTGCATTCTTCTCCGCATACTGCAATACCCAAATATTAAAAATAAAATAAGACCTTGTATGCATTAACTAAATATATATCTACCACCTATTTTCCTGAAAATGAAGCAAATAACTAATTAAAATGAAACATACACATTAGTTAAATGAAAAAATATTTATGTCAAATAAAACTCTTCTCAACTGCATATTGTGTAACTCAATCCATACACATTAGTTAAATGAAAAAATATTTGTCTCCTTCTAATTATAAGTATAATCATATTATATTTCACTTTAAAATATAATATAGATAAAAATGTGACATTTCATTACATTGCGGAGAATTTTGTTGGGTTTTCCAATATTGTACAAGACTCCGACAACCGCTATCTTGTTTTTAACGTTAGGGTCTATGCTTTGGTGCACCAAGTGCAACTCCATGTTGTACCTGTCACAACAATTCTTATTTAAAATTAATTTCTGATAATTTTTCACATTCCTTAAAATCTTGCATGTTTATGTCAAATAATGAAGAATGTTCAGATATATGTATTGATAAAAACTACAAAAAATATATTTATATATAAAGAGATATATTAGAATATTCAATTGTGAGTTATCCCATATCGTTTATATGGAGAAAATAAGCTTAATTTATAAGTCTAATGGACTACTCCTCCTTCCACTAATTGATTTTGGGATGAAATCTCACGTGGGCTTTCCCTGCTTTTATCCCCTAATTGGTTATCATAATCTTATTTATCCCTAATTTATTTATTTATTTATTTATTTGTTGAATAAACAAATTACCTTCTGCCATGGATTGTGTGTTCAGATGGAGTATGCCAATGGGCAGATCGAAGAGGATAATTAGTCCCGTTAATGATCAATGATCCAGCATCTCCAAGCCATTCAATCTGGCTCAACCAAAATTTATTAGTATATTAATTAATTCATAACGATTTTGACACAAATTTTCAGTATAATTGTCCACAAAAATTATAATAAGAGATCAATAGATGCACTAATAAAGAAGTCAACCATCAATCTCCTTAATTTCAACTTAATGTTCTTGAAGAATAATAAAGTTTAAAAATTAGACATTTTTTTAAATAGATATATTAATGTTGCAAGTCAACATATCTCAGCATTATGACGATTAATTTCTCATATGAAGTTATTACATGAATGAACAATAAAAACATCGGTTTCGATATGTAGTAATCATATATCCAACTTATAAATTGTTCACCAATTATTGACAAATTGTGAATTGACACGTCTTCATAAAGAAATACACATAAAATAAGTGCCAATGAATCAAATCATGGATGACCTTAAAAGGGAGTCATAACATTTTATATAAATATATCTATATTATTTATTCTATTTTCTCTTTTATTATTATTATTATTATTATTATTATTATTATTATTATTATTATTATTATTATTATTGTTGTTGTTGTTGTTGTTGTTGTTGTTGTTATTGTTGTTGTTGTTTTGGAATCTTATGTAATGTAGAATGAATTTATTATTATTATTATTATTATTATTATTATTATTATTATTATTGTTGTTGTTGTTTTGGAATCTTATGTAATGTAGAATGAATTTAAAATTTTCAATCGTACTTCTATGTCATGGCCTCTATTTCTGATAGCTGCATTAGCAGCTCTGTAATTTTTGTATTCGGGCCTGGAAATAATTCTCTCTCTCATTGGACAAGTCTATTGGAGATTGCATTGACCCAGTTTTACACGCGGCCCATTCTTCCATAATCTCTCCCCAATGTTTTGGGCCCTTCTCACCATTTTCGGCATAATCAAACTCCCTTTCATCCTCTGCATTGGCACAAAAGAGTAAAAGAATTTAGTTATTGTAAGTATATACAAAATACAAAAATGGAAGTTACATAAAGCAAAAACTATTGGTATTTTATTTCAAATTCTAAAAAATTTCTTTGTATACGACATTATTAGTTCTACTTACAATTTTTTCATCCTTGCAAAATGATCACAAAATGAAAGGAAAATTTGTCCACCAAATTAGAATTTGCAAAATATGGTTTGCCATTTCCCATAAACCATATATGAAATGGATTTGCCATACTCGAGAATTAAATTTCATGTATACAATTCATTTTGTACTATAAACTTAAATTTCATTTTGTATACAATTTCATTTTGTCCAGCAAATGGATTTACCATACTCGAGAATTAAATTTCACGTATACAATTCATTTTGATTAATAAACTTAAATTTCATTTCGTACACGTAAGTGAGATTTCATTTTGTATATGTAAGAGAAAATTCATTTTCAGCCCCAATCGTGGTAATATTGATTAATATTAAATTTATAAGAGGTAATAAATTTATGGTAATGAAAGATAGATTTATAGGATATTCATTAATAATAAATTTATGGGAGGGAATAAATTTATGGTAATGAAAGATAGATTTATAATGTAAGATGAAATAATTATTTATGGTTGATTCTAAGCCTATTTTTCAAAAAATTTATCCGAAATTAAATACAAAGCAAGATATTTTGACACGTATGATTCCAAAGCATGCGAGTCTCCCACTTAGGCTCAGCACGTTTTGAATTAATATGTCACGATTTTAATTATGATTTTGTTCTATAGATGATTGACATATATATAATAGTGATATGATCTGAACATTTTATTATTCATCCAATGAACCAGAACTGAAATATAATTTTGGAACATGAAATCTTATCCCTATATGATCTCTCTCATGGAACCCATTCGTTCTTTATGCACAATGATTTGGTCCTTGAAAAAAATTGGCCAAAGTACTGTTATACGCCCCTCATACAGGGCAATAAAATTTATACAAGAAAAAAATGCAATACCAAATAAATGATCTGAATATGTTTTACTCCACGTTAATTAAACCAAAAAAGGTAACTCACCATGCTTCTGCAAATCATTCTGTAACTGAAATTATTGCCTTATTTAAGAAGGAAAAAAAATACCAAATAAAAACGGATCTGTTGAGAATTATTAGTATATTTGGTGTTTATGGTATATTAATATTATTTGCTAATAGAATAGAAAAAAATAAAACTAACAGTTTAATTAAAGTATATTATATGTGTGTGTATATGTGAGAGTCGTATGGTAGATTGAAATCGCAGTTTTTT